CTCTGGTCTCTCCTGCAGGACTCTGGTCTCTCCTGCAGGACTCTGGTCCCTCCTGCAGGACTCTGGTCCCTCCTGCAGGACTCTGGTCTCTCCTGCAGGACTCTGGTCTCTCCTGCAGGACTCTGGTCCCTCCTGCAGGACTCTGGTCTCTCCTGTAGGACTCTGGTCTCTCCTGCAGGACTCTGGTCCCTCCTGCAGGACTCTGGTCCCTCCTGAAGGACTCTGGTCCCTCCTGCAGGACTCTGGTCCCTCCTGCAGGACTCTGGTCTCTCCTGCAGGACTCTGGTCCCTCCTGCAGGACTCTGGTCTCTCCTGACCCCTCAGCTTTGATGAAAAGCTTCAGCTGTTTTCTGGAAACTTGACTCGGTTTGATTCCATCGAACCAAAACCTTCAGCTTCTTGTTCCTGATGGAGCTGAAGCTGCTCCTGTCTGCATGTGGACCCTCAGAGGACAGACTGGTGTCCAGCAGAGGACAGACTGGTGTCCAGCAGGAGGACAGACTGGTGTCCAGCAGAGGACAGACTGGTGTCCAGCAGAGGACAGACTGGTGTCCAGCAGAGGACGGACTGGTGACCAGCAGAGGACAGACTGGTGTCCAGCAGAGGACGGACTGGTGTCCAGCAGGAGGACAGACTGGTGTCCAGCAGAGGACAGACTGGTGTCCAGCAGAGGACAGACTGGTGTCCAGCAGGGGGACAGATAGAGATGGTTTATAAAAAGCTGAAACCTTTGAAAAGATAAAAACTTCAGCAGATAGAGAGGACACGTTGATCTGATCCTGACCTTTGACCCCCCAGGACCCCTCAGGCAGCTCTGCACCAGGAACCGTAGACCCACAGGGATCTGTGTCCCCACATCGTCCCATGATGAAGACATGTCTCCAGTCCACAGCTTCAAGGAGGTGGTCTGGACTCACAGAACCAGTAAAGACCATAAATCAGGGACCGGATCGATACGAGCCGTTGAGCCTGCGCTTCCCTGATAACACCATCGATCCGGTCTGGATGGACTTTAATTAAAACACAAAGACAGGTCCCAGCTGAAAGACAACAGTCCGGTTCCACCAGGGTCCAGGTGGTTCAGTGTGGTCCGGTCCTGAAGACACAGACCAGGACAGAGGACCTGAGTCTACCTGTCACCACAATGTCCGGTTGGTTCGCCATTACCATCTTGTCTGTCTGGATCTGGAAGTCCCACAGGATCTTAGCT